TACAAAATCGCAATTAGGCCCCTTTCTATTGTTGAATTTTCAAAGCAAATCCTCCATCTTAGTCTAATTTGCCCCACAAATCAATATTCCCAATCTCACAGACTGCAAGTTCAAAATCAGACCAACAACAAGTAAAAAAAAAAAAAAAAAACTTCACAATCAGTCACGCTGGAACCGGCGTCGAGCCTTACGAACACACTGCCATGATCACGATGTCCGATTGCAATATTTTCAGCATTCAAGACGAATAGCGGCGGAGGAAAAAGATACGAGACATGGGCCGCGACGACAGTCGGGCGGTGGCGTGAAATGCGAGCACCGGAAGCTATACTTTCGATAATAGCAGTTCGTCGTTGAAGTGTATGTCGATGGCCGAGATAAGCTCCGTCGGCAGCGGGTGGGGGTGCGGCGGCCGACGTAGAGAGATGGGGTAGACATGGGAGTGTGCTCGAGCATCGCCAGATTCAGCCCGGTGGTCAGTCATGGGAAATCATTGGATTGTTAGAGACTCGATGGCTCAGTCGAGAGTAGGCGGTAGACTGGTGGCGGCGGAGGAATTATGGTAGTTGGGGTGTGGTGGTTCGGCTTGTGAACTTGTGCAGAGTTCGACGGGCGGAGGTGACGAGGTGCAGAGAACGAGAGAGAGATAGAGACACAGAGTGAGTGAGCTTGGGACGGAGATGGCGGCGACGGGCGGCGACGGGCAGTGGCAGGAGGGTGGTTTTGTGTGTGTGTGTGTGTGTGTGTTGGGGGAGGGTTACGGGATTGTGAGGAAGATGAAGGGTTAGGTGGGGAAAGTGATTTTTCCAAAGTACCAAAATTACCCTTAAAATTTTACAAATGACCATACCTGATATCTCTATTTACGGGAATGCCATCCGTAGTTGACAGGATCCAAAATTGATAGCTTACATCCTGACCATTGAAATTGTAGATCAAGTGGTCAATATTAATTCTTATTTCTTTCATTATGATTCATTCTCATTTGAGCGCACTTCTATATATATATATATATATATATATAGTTAGAACTATATAAAAAAAAGACAGTGAAAGAAATAAAAATAAATATAGATCACTGGATACATCATATCAATGGTCGTGATCAAGTCAAATGTGGTCAATCATTAATGACAATATGGTAAATTAATACATACACATTGTGGTCAAATATACATATTTGACTACTCAATAAGGGCAAACCGGTCATTTAACACCAATGTACCCAACCATAATATTTATATACCACACACACACAATACACACACTCAGCACACACACACACACGCACACACACACACAAAACACACACACAAGAGCCCAGACCCACGGAGACTGCCACCGTCCCTCCTCCGGCTTCAGTCACACCTCCGTCGATGATTTTCTTATAGAAAGGTATGAGCCTCATAATATGTACAACATCCATTTCAGGTGTCAGTCAAAAACTTTACTTTAAAACTTCTCAAGATCTGCCGAACAGTGGGTGTGAAAACTAAAAACTAAATAAAGGACTCCCATTCACAATGATTAAACACAAATTTTGCTGTTAGGCTGCTGTGAAAACTAAAAAACTAAATAAAGACTCCCATTCACAATGATTAAATACAAATTTTGCTGTTAGGCTGCTGTCCAACGGTTGTGAAAACTAAAAACTAACAAAGCCTCCCAACAATGATTTGATACAAATTTTGCTACCCTAGGCAGAAATACTTATACTATGAAAATTTTATACTTATATTTATATATATTTTTTTTGAAGTATGAAAATCTGTTCAAACTGTATATCGAGACAGCCTATCAGCAGCCTTACCATTGGTTAAAAATAAAAAATTGAGTATGAAAGATTGTGAAAATGGAAGGTTTGGTTAGTCATCTCATATGACTGAACTCAGCTTGGTTCTCCACATTTCTCCAACGACTTTCCTTGGCTGTGGATTGTCAGGACCTCTGTCTCGTTGTCCAGATGTGAAATATATATAGCCATCCCAGAATCCAGCTAAAGTGGTTTTGATTCGATATGGGAGCCTCCCAATCACGGACCATTGCTGTCAAATTTAGACACAAAACACAAATTTCAGCAAAACATATGATACACTGATAGGATATTATTAACCTTCAGTGTTTTCTAAATGGACAACTGCAAAAATTATTACTGAGATTTGGCTGGTCTCTAGGAAAACACAAGTACGCATCTCTAAAATACTATAAAACGCAAACCCAGCCTTGAGTTTACAAACAATATTCATTTTGCACCTCTTGTTGGTGGGCAATACTGGGGATAATGAAAATTGTTGATGCCACTTACATCTAACGTCTCTTGAACAACAGGTATAACCCTATACTACATTTGTCTTACAGTTTTCATTTTGACCCAATTAACTTTGTCAAAATTTCAAAGTAGCAAATAAAGAATTGGTTTGTAGTGTTTCAAAAGGTTTAGTTCAAACATATTAGACATATTTGGTGAGTCTGGTTAGGCACAAATTACAAGGGGAATTTCACCTCAGCAGCGATTTTTGTAATTCTGAAAATGAGCAGGGTCTTTTGCAAATGCTGTAATACTTAAGGTAACGTTTGCATTTACCCGGCATGTGCGAGTGTGTGAAAGAAGCCAAAGAAATGTGATATAAATTTGTGGTCAGTGACTCAATACCAGTGTGCTCAAATGTAACTGGAAGACCTCCCCAACCAACATCATCCTTTTGGTGACTGGGTTTTTCTCAGTGGTGCCTCCCATAATGATGATGGAGTTGTTATGTATTATCCAAGAGGATTCTATGTGAGAGTTTGGTTTGGGCATGGGGGCCAATACTTTCCACTTATTCTCCAAATCGAGCATATAAACATCCCCATAAACCACCTGAGATACATTACATCAACTCAGAATAAGACTCCCAGTGGTTGGAAGTTACACGCAAGGACACTAATTATTAATCACGCACCTCGTGCCTCCTTGAGCATTTGAAGATGGGCGAGCCCGGTTTGGCCATGAAATCACCCTCTTGACCCCCAATTACAAAAAGCCTGTCACCAACAGCAACACAAGCCCTATTGGGGCAAAAAAAAAAAAAAAATGCCAAAGTTAGAATGATAGTGCAATACTGTTACGTTTACAGTAAACCAATGTAGATAATTCAAATTCATTCCCACCTGTGAGGGCCCCCTCGGGGTATAGGGGTTTCTGTCCGCCATTGATTTTCGAGTGCTTTCCCATTCTTCACCGCAATGCTCCAATGATCCGTGCCAGGCGTGTGCCGATTCTCTTTGCTCCCACCCATTACGTGCAATCTTCCCTTCCAGATTTGAGTTGCTGCAGCATACCTGAAATAGCTTCTCTTGCTTGGGATTTAAACTATTACAACAATATACATATTGCAACATACCCTGAAGTTCCATTCATGTTTTTAAATAAGGGGCTACTTGTCATATCTTTACAAATGTGAGAGGGAAGTTTTAGATGCTTTCTTCTCATGGAAGGAGTAAATATACGGCAAAATAGAACCTAAAGTGTTTGGCGTCCTTTTCTCTTCTTTATTCAATTCTCGAAGTTGGCTGAGACTTTTTCTTTGGGACAAACCCCAAGGTATATATTCTTATGTAATGAAACAATACTAGGTTAGGAACACACCTTGGACTAGGTAATGGTAGGAAGTCCTTCCACTTTCTGGTCTTGGTATCCAGAACGAACGAACGAGTCGTGGGAGCCCTGCACTGGGGCCCATACTGACCCGACACTATGTACACATATCGCCCATCACATGCCACTCCCAGATGGGAATTCGCCATTTCTCTCGGAGTGTCGAATCTCCCGCTCCACGTGTTATCGGTGAAGTTGTAGATATCAACATGTGAGTGTACCTTAGAACCCAAATTCACAGCCATTAAGACACATTTACATACAACCCAAATTCACAGCCATTAAGACACATTTACATACAACCCAAATTCACAGCCATTAAGACACATTTACATCTTCAATTCAGCACATTTCTTAGAGCCCAAGACATACATTTACCAACCATGTCAAAATATAAATGATCCGAATGATGGCTGTTATGACGGGAAACACAGTAAGTTGGAAATCCTTACATAGTCGAGGGTTCCATATCCCGAGAAAACATATAGAAGATTCTTGATCTGGACCGCTGAACCATCCAAACGTGGCACTGGCGCAGTAGGCATTTGCTCCCACTTCAATTCTGGTGCGGGTATATCGGCAAACGTAGCTGATAATACCCGTTCGGGCACATGGTTCACATTCTTGTGCACTTGCTCATTATCTGCAGGCTGAAATATCATATCACATATCAATGTCCTTTAATTTTCCCGCATCAAACCACAATATAACACTAAAGGAAAAGGGAAAACACGCGTGAAACTAGCCTAAGCGGCATTTCTCAACTTTCTTCAATATTGCAAAACAGGCAACAATTAGATCTCAAATGTACGCCCTCCGTCAATCACATTGTGAATAATTCAAAGAAATAAACGCTAACTAAGAGTAGGGAAAAAAGAAACCCGACCTCTACCTGTGGTTGGTTTACATTGGCAGATCTGGGGACCAAAACGACGTGGTTTTTATGCGTGGGTGCGATGGATGAAAAGTAGACGGAAGAAAGTGATGCCCAGTGGAAATGGAGCGTCGTAGCGAAGGCGAGAAGGCATACAAAAGAGAAAATGACTGTGGATTTTGTGAAACTGTGTTTTCCGGCCGACGACATATTGTTTCCTGCAATTTAATCGGAATGTAGTTTTTTCCGTAGGAAAGGAGATTTATAGCAGTGTGAAGTGAAGGATATATATATATGTTTGGAGATGGGAGAAAAGAGTGGGCGCCATTGGTTTGTGTTGCTTTCTGTTGGATACTGCTTCCGTCTGTTTTCAAATTTCAATCCTGCCGGAGACGACTTTACTTTTCACATCAATTAATCTTGTATTAATCTTCAAACTATTGTAATTTGACATGGATCTATGAGAGTTTAATACATACGAATATTATTCATTATAAAATATTCGTCACTAAAAAATATTATATTAATAAAACATCTTTGTACACAACATTATTAATTTGATTATTGGATAATTCGTTGTGAGGAGCATGGGCCGACTCAGGCCGGACGCGGGCTGCACAAAGGACTGCGGAAACTGGGCCTCACTCAACTGGGCTCCTTTCCTGGGCATCTCTCGTGGTCTGCGGATGTTGATTGTTGTCGCCAAAAATATTGTCACCACGCTTGGACAACTTTTTTAATTTCAACTATATTATAAATTATATTTTATTTAAAATTTAACTTTTTTATTCCTATTTGATCGGTTTTCCTATGAATCCAACAGTTGGCTCCATAGTGGAGCCAACCTTCTATATACAGCAAGTAAACCATACCATATTGATAAGATTATTTGTGTTGTTTAAGTAATCAGAGAATATGGTAGGTTTACTTGTTGTATATAGAAGGTTGACTCCACTATGGAGCCAATTGTTGGCTTCATAACAAAATCGCCTATTTAGGTATTATTTTACATTTCCAGCTATACTAATAAAGTATAATTTTAGTTTGAATCATGTAACTTCCTTAATAGTGAGTTCAATAATTTATAGATAGAAACATAATTTAACGATTCCATCTAACTTCTCTCCCTTCTCCCTTTTCATATTCCATACTTCACAATTTTCTTCAAATAAAACAAAAAATACATACAACAATTATTAGGTTGACCATCAAATAAATCAGAAATAAGACTGTAAATAAGCGTAACATTTTTCTTAATAATTTCTATTTTTTTTAAATAATAATTGCAATGTTTCAGGTTCGACACAAGATTGGTTTGTTTGTTTTTTATTATTTGTTTATAAATAGGCCATCTATCTTAATTTTTGTTCAAACTTGATTTATTTTTTTATTTTTATCATCAGTTATATCATGTTAGTTATCATTGGACATAAGCTCATAGGATGTGCTGATAAATATGCATTTGGATTTTAATATATGCAATATAAATGTAAAAATACAGAGAATATGCTGAAGCTAAATTTAGTTTACTGGACATGTGCACGACAATTAGAAAAATGTGATTTTCTTAATTTAATCTTGAGAATAAATGCATTGCCAAATCGGAGTTCGCTTTAATATATCATTCGAGATTTCAGTGCTGATAATTTGCCTTGTTTCAGCTTCATTCATCTTATTGGTAGGGAAAGAGCCATCTTTGGCGCTTAAATTAATGGAAACAAATTAGAGACAATTTAAATGACATGTACTTATAGGGAGATTGATGCATATGTGCAATAAAATATCACCAACATTACAAAATTGATATTTGAAAAACCTAAAGACATATATGGAAAACAACGATAATATGACAACATATGTGTACGTCTGGGCTTCCTCGTGTTGGGCTCTCTTCTGGGCTGCTTCCACGCTGGGAAGCGAGCTGAGGACGGGTGGACGCCTGCTGGCCTGAACTCGGTTGATGTGCGATTAGTTGTTGGAGTAGAGGCTGGGAACAGCGACGCCAGTGGCCGTTTTGACGACGTTCAACTCCTCAGTAACCGGGATTCAAAACTCAACAAAATTTACGAAAAATATAAATTTTCAGAGGCTCTGAAATTTGCAAAAAAAAAAAAAAAAAGGATTTGGCTTGAAAAATGAAACAACTCAAGGCACAAATAAAGTCAGATTTTCAAAATAAGTTCAGTGCCCCTAATTTCAAACGACGAACTCGACATGGTAAAAAAGCTCAAATTTTTTATTCGGCTTGAAACATAGAATAAAGGATCGGGTATGTGATAAGAATTCATAATATTATTGTTTCTAAGTGATAAGAATGTCAAATTTTGTTACATTTTATATACTCCATATTTGCTACCAAATCTTTTACCAAAAAATCTAATACGAGTTATTGTAAAATAAATCTAGTACAATTTTAACTAAAATCAGGTATGTGTATGTGGCTTGATGGTTATATTATCAAAATATGTATGCGTATGTGGGGATATCATATGGGTTTATGTTTGCTAATTATTTTCGCTATCCGCAAATGTACGACGTAGCTATAGGTAGTGGCGAGCAAGGTCGTATTAAATGTCGTATTCCACAAAGATTGTAGTTAAATTAGTTAAGTACTAAAATAATGACGATTAAATATTATTTAGACTAACGAATGATATAATGATTCTAAACTATGAAATTAAACTAAAAACTAATTTACCTAATGAAATAAAAATAAAATAAGATGCAAAAGTGATGAAGAATATATATATGTTTAAAATTATTATTATTATTATTATTATTATTATTATTATTATTATTATTATTATTATTATTATTATTATTATTATTATTAGTTGCTTGGATATTAAGCTAGAGTTGAGTTTGAAGCCTTTATTTAAAGGGCTCTTCTGTTTTGGTGATGGGGGGAATTGGATGAATGAAAATAATTGATCGTGTTTTCTTTTGGAAGAGTATCCCGTGTTCTGGAGAGAGTATCTCCTTGTATCTTCTCATTTGTTCACGCTTTCGCTACATCAGTTGGTATCAGAGATCGGGTACGTTCCACGATGCCGCCAATGAGAGGAAGCACCAACGATCCTACCATCTATGACCGATTGCAATGGATGGACGATCAGATTCACGGGATGGATGATCGGGTTGATGAACTTTCTATGGGGATCGACGAATTACGCTAGACAATAAATACCATGATGAGCGAGGTACGTACGAACCGCGAAGGGGCTGACCGGGGCCATCGCGGAGGGATATGCAGAGGTCGTGGGGGTCGAGGTTATTGCGGGGCGCCCCGCCGACGATCACCACCGCCACCGTTGACCGGTGATGTTTCTCACGAAATATCGGGGGACCACGACTTACGGCGGAGTGATGTTTTCGACAAACCTCCACGCAGGGCCGGTGGCGGCGAGCGCACGGACGATAAAAACCTCAGAGCGGTCCGATTTCGCAGTCAACAACAACCTCATGAGGGTTTTTCTTACCAAATTTCACCCAATCGCTCACCCTTCGACAACAATTTCTGGGGACCTGCTGCAGGAGCGGGGACGAGCGGAGCATTTTGATTTACGTCGGGCTTCTAATGGAGTGGACATCGCGCGAAGGTGGCCGCCGGAGGGGCTTCGCGCCGCTGTCGACTGCGGCGACTTCCTTGCTCGAGAGCCGCACTGGGCCGCTGATGGTTTTGCCACGGCTGGAGAGCGCGATTGGAGGCGGAAGGCGACAGGTTTTGGCGATGGTGGGGGCTGCGAAGCTCGACGGAGCCAACCCTGGACGGAGGTGGTTTTGGGCGGGTCTGATTTTTGGGTTCGCCGGTGCGCTGCTTCAATTTTCGCCGGTGACGGTGGCCACGAGGTGCAACAGGACAGCCAGAATGATTCCGGGCGCAAGGGTGCTCAATTTTTCAGAGTTTTCAGAGAAGCGATTCAAGTACAGAGCGCAGAGGATGGTCGCGAATTTTTGGCCTGTGAAGGGGATGAGTTTAGTTATGATTTTGGGCCTCAACAGGTGCAGCCCACATGCAATATTTGGGCCTCTTCAGTAGCTGCGGATATTGGGCTTCTGCAGAGGGATTATGGCAGCGAATATCACGTTGACGGGCCAATGTACGACGGTCCGCCTATTTTTGATGAGGAGCCTCCGGTGCCGGAGATACATATTGACGGCACTTTGGGCTCCACGTGGGACATCCTCCCGATGGTCCCTTTGATCGAACACCCGTCATTTGGACCGAATTTTCAACATATTTTTGCGATGGATGTTTTTTTGGAAGCGCCTTCGGGACTCAATAGCTTTCGGGACATTGTTGGATTGTTTGTTCCGAAATCTTCCCCCATTGGACGTTCTGGCTGTAGTGATTATGGTTTTCGTTCGGCTTCCGGGATTCTGCATTGGGAAGTAGGCCCCTTTGCTTTTCCGACCGTTGTATACGTGCCCGAATTTGTGTTCGCCGGTGCGATTGGAAGACCTTTGAGCTTCGTGTTCGATCGGGGAAAAATTATTCCTGTCCTGGTGTCTTCTCCGGGAACAGGTTAGATTCGAGGCCAAATCCTGTTCAACCAGGGGAGAATGATGAAGCATATATATATGTTTAAAATTATTATTATTATTATTATTATTATTATTATTATTATTATTATTATTATTATTATTATTATTATTATTATTATTATTAGTTGCTTGAATATTAAGCTAGGGTTGAGTTTGAAGCCTTTATTTAAAGGGCTCTTCTGTTTTGGTGATGGGGGGAATTGGATGAATGAAAATAATTGATCGTGTTTTCTTTTGGGAGAGTATCCCGTGTTCTGGAGAGAGTATCTCCTTGTATCTTCCCGTTTGTTCACGCTTTAGCTACATCAAAAAGATAGATTCTAGGCTAAGCGTTCCTTGGCATTAATTCATGAAACATTTTTATTCATACAAACCTCATTTAATTTTACCAATCGTAAAGATAATCGCTAAATTGATTTCAACCTTTCTCTCGAACAAGCAAATCGTAGATATTAATTGTTATCTCTCCTCTCGGTCTCAAGATGAACAACTAACTCTCATAAGTTCCTAGTATTTTCATTCTTTCGTAAGATTCTATCAACCTCTCGGTCTGTTTAGTCTCTTACGTTATAAATTTCCTAATTCTAGAAATCAATTATCTCCTCTCGGTCTCAAATCAATTATAAGTATGCGTTCATAGTGGCCGTCTACTCACACAATAATAA